CAGACTGGAGTCAATGAGAGGGACAGCACAGACTGGAATCAATGAGAGGGGCAGCACAGACTGGGGTCAATGAGAGGGACAGCACAGACTGGAGTGAATGAGAGGGGCAGCACAGGCTGGTGTGAATGAGAGGGAGAACAGACTGGAATAGATGAGAGGTTAGGGCAGCACATACTGAAGTGAATGAGAAGGACAGCACAGACTGGAGTGAATGAGAGGTGCAGCACAGACTGGAGTGAATGAGAGGTGCAGCACAGAGCGGAGTAAATGAGAGGTGCAGTACGAACTGGAGTGAATGAGAAGGACAGCACAGACTGGAGTGAATGAGAGGTGCAGCACAGACTGGAGTCAATGAGAGGTGCAGCACAGACTGGAGTGAATGAGAGGTGCAGCACAGACTGGAGTGAATGAGAGGTGCAGCACAGAGTGGAGTGAATGAGAGGTGCAGTACGAACTGGAGTGAATGAGAAGGACAGCACAGACTGGAGTGAATGAGAGGTGCAGCACAGACTGGAGTGAATGAGAGGTGCAGCACAGAGTGGAGTGAATGAGAGGTGCAGCACAGACTGGAGTGAATGAGAGGTGCAGCACAGACTGGAGTGAATGAGAGGTGTAGCACAGACTGGAGTGAATGAGAGGTGCAGCACAAGTTGGAGTCAGTGAGAAGTGCAGCACAAACTGGAGTAAATGAGAGAGGCAGCAAAGACTGGAGTGAATGAGAGGGGCAGCAAACACTGGAGTGAATGAGAGGTGCAGTACAATTTGGAGTCAATGAGAAGTGCAGCACAAACTGGAATGAATGAGAGGGGCAGCAAAGACCGGGCTGATTGAGAGAGGCAGCACAGACTGGAGTAAATGAGAGTGGCAGTACAGACCGGGCTGATTGAGAGAGGCAGCACAGACTGGAGTAAATGAGAGGGGCAGCACAGACTGGGTATACAAACAGTCACAACTAATTTAGGAACCTGACCGCCCGATCCGGTAAGTCGTCTCCTACGACAAGCATGGTCGCTTCTTACTGCAAGCATGGGTTGCTGAAAACCTATTTTAACCCGGATCTTCATGGGGCGTATGGCAATAGAAGACAAACCGGTTTCAATAAGGGACGTAAATCTTACGCGTTATACCATGTTTCGTCAAAGCACCCGGCGCTACACCCTGTCAGTCATGTGTTTATAAACGGACCCTCTCTCTCATACCACTGTGCACATACCGATATAGGTCAGCATGCCACGTCCTTATTCCTTCACAATAAACAACACATTTGGACACACAGCGTCACACCTGAGTGGCCATTTCGTAGTTCTGGATCACTTCCAACACGTTTAGCGGAATGGCTCAGTGTGTTGATGTCTGTTTTCTCTATTAATGAGAAGTGGCGATGGGGTAGCCTTGTCGTTAAAGATTTGATTCACCAAATGATCCAATGTGTGAAGCCAATTTCAGACATTCCCGACGTGATATTCCTGGAATATTGCCAAAGCTGCGCCAAAGATCTAGGCACTTACGCACCTACGCATCCACGCACAAACGCACTCACGCACTAAACAAACAACCAACACAGATCCAAAACACGAATACACCTTTCCACCCGCCCGCAAATCACTCACTAATTTTGAAACAATATGTTAACCCAGAAATATATACGTAAAAATCCTACTGTGAAACCAACAAACAACCAACAAATGGTATGCAATTAACAATTGTAATCTTACATTAACCAGATTTAAAAATCAACTCAAATTACTGCACAGTAACTACAAAGGCAGTACACAATCGAGCGCTAGTGCAATATTCAATGACAGTGTATTGTATCAAATACAAAAACACAATGGAGACAGAAAAAGTCAGTGATAATACTATATATTCACCAAGCGGCGACAGTGGTCAATCTGATGGGCAAGGCGTTAAATCAGGGATGATGAGCGATCCTCACATGAAACAAACAAAATACACTGCATTACACTCTCCCTTCGGATAAAGAGCGTTCGAACTCGAGACAATGCATTAGCAATAACATTGACTTTGCCTTTGATATGCTTAATGTATAATTCAAATTCTTGCAAAGAGAGGCTCCAGCACATTAAGCATTTTATGAAGAACAGTCAGTGGATTGTGATCAGTGTATACTTGAATAGGAGTGAGTGAGTGAGTGAGTGAGTGAGTTGGGTTAAACGCCACTTTTAACAGTATTCCCGTTATATAGCGGCATGTCACGAACCCACAATCATAGGTTTCTGGCTTGCCCAAGGGATGCAACTCTGCACAGCGAATCGCGGCGCCTTAGACGACTGGACCATCAATGACCCCTTGAATAGAAAACATAGTGGTACACAAGTACACTTCAAATTGTTGCAAAGCTAACAATAGAGTAAGAGTTTATTTTCAATATTGGAATCATTGCTCTGATGTTTGTAAATATTTTGTGAATACTAACAAACAGGATGATAAAAGCCTGATGCATCTTCCTGCACCAGGACAGCTCCAGCACCAACGTCACTAGCATCTACAGCTAATTTGAAGATTTTTGGGAAAGTTTGGTGCTTTGAGAAAATGGGAATTCGCGAGAATGGCTTTAACATTCTCAAAAGCAGCCTGACAATTACTGTCCTAAACACAAACTCCATTTTTTTGCCCAGCGAAATAGTAAGGGGGGCTACCACATGTGAGACATTTTGACTTTACGGTAGTAACCAGCCATATCCAAAACGTTCCTTTTTGCTTTGTGGAACCTGGTATTTTGAAATAGGTTCCACCTTTTCTTGTACGGGTTGTACCTGACCTTGGCCTATGACATAACCTAAGAATTGTACATGTGTCTGTGCAAATTCACTTTTCAATAAATTAATAGGCAACTTGGATTCAAAGAGTCTCCTGGAGAAGGCGCAGACTTCCTGAGCTGAAATTTTATATTGGTAAGGCCCATCGTGAGTGATGTTGTTTAACAGGCACAGCGTCACGCACATCTACATCATGGCACACTAAATATTGAGCCTTTTGCTCAGATGACAAATTACTTTATTTAGCATCCAAGGTAATACTTCAGCGTAGGGCTAGCAAAGTCAGCAATGCCATCGAACTTGACAAAGTCACAATTCTCATCAGTTTCACAATCTGATGCAAAATGCACAGGAGAACCAGTGGCAACACACTAAGACGGAACCTTGACATTTCGTTCTGATCATATTGACATGACAAAGCAGTGTCTGGTGTTTTTACAACATTGTAAGTATCACTGACTTTTCTGTCAATAACATACGGACCATTGTACCTAGCACGTAATGGTTGTCCTTGAATTAGCAAAAACACTGAGACTTTATCGCCAGGACACAAATTTCTCTCTTGTCATAATGTACTTTCATTTTGTCCTGGGATTCCTTCAAGTTATTCCTACAAACTTCACAAGCTTCTGAAAGCCCTAGCCCGAAATGATGAGACATACTCGAACAAACTCATTTCAGAGCTATCATTAAGCCAATGCTCTTGTATGTATGGCCAAAGACAACGTCAAGAGGACTCAAAACCTATGGGATCCTGAACGGACTCCCTCACACCAAACAACAACAAATGAATGCTTTTACCGAATCCTCACACAAGCAGTGCAACACAGCTACAAACACTTTCCAACAATAAAATACACTGCCATATAACAATATTTTGAGGACGTCTATATGTCGACATCAGATTCGGCGACACTATTAAGTATTTTCATGATCAGTGCACGATACTCAAGTTTGAGACATGACACAATGAAACAGTTATTCAACTGACTCGTGTTTATGTCGTAAATACAATATTTCACTTTTACGCAATTTCTTATATTTGAGCCTCCGAACATTTATTTCAACCATCAAAGATATTAATGTAGATTAAGTGTATCATGTCGATGTGTATTTAATACACATATATACAATCTCTTTTCTGGTAATTTGAATGGCTTGAAGGACATCATACTTGTGATCATAACTCGGACTACTTTACTTGCTAAGCGAGCAACTGGATTCGACAAAACCTACACAAACAAGTCAATTGGTTGTACGTTGGTATGTCTGCTATTGACCAGAAGGTGAGCTCCCTTCATTTATATTTTGCTTTCTCGGGTTACTACGCTCCGATCTGTATACTACTCACGTGATGTGGCGTGTGGTTATTCCATTTTACCGAATCCTGTTACCTCAACATGTCTGGAGTGTTATGCACTAACAATGAGTTATGGGAGGACAGTGCAACGACTTATTTGGACGGTAGCATTCCCCTCTAAATCTTAAATGTCAAGATTAACGAATCTTTGGTACAGAAATATTTCACTTCATAGACATTTACACATTGGCAGCAATCTACTTAAAGTTGGATTTGCAGGAATGACAGTGTGTACACTAACGAGTTTCACTCTGAACCGATAAACCCCATACTGCATGAATTATCAGCGAGTTATGTAATATTAACATAAAGATAATTATATCATGCAGAACACAAGCATTCTTGATTCAGGTCTCTTCTGCCACGAAACATGAAACACTTTTTCTCACTACCAACTTTGGGGGGAATTGCTTTTGAACACTTCCTGTTGTCGGAGGTTCGAATCCCAGAATCGCTCCGATCATGATTCGTGGCTTGTCATCACATAGCCGTACTCGTGGGTTTCACTTTGTAGCATCTAAGATTTGCATCAATGCAGGCTTTCTTCCCATATTAAGCTGACACACCGTGATATAACTGAAAACACAGTTCAAAACAACAATACACCCAATCCACTCACTCTATTATCTGAGGCTATGGATAAGTTAATTGTATCAGTTGTGGTACCTTAAGTTTCTGGATAGAACATGCATGTTAGAAACATCACTTGCTAAGAAAAACCTAGTCTGTCAATGTCAGTGCGACACAGTAATGAACTACGCAACATAGCGACAACTTTGACCTACTTGCAAATCACGTCACGGGTACACAAGCACATGAGACGGCACCTTTCTCACACAGGGTGGCTTTGTTTGTTACCACGTGACATGCATTTAGATTGTGTACAGTGAGGCGTGGCGCTCGTTCCCTTGAACAGGTAGCGGACAGTTATATTCTAGCTGGATAGAAATGTGTTAAGGACCTCAGCCACAAGTCCCTTTTGTCGTCTTCTGAGGTAAGACATTTGGCTTAGGCTGACAAGAAGTAAGTGAAACTATAGCAAACGAAGAGCTTTTATTAGGTAGGCCTCGCTTGCCTAAATATATTTCATTTGTTTAACTGGTCATGTTATAGCCTGTGTTAGCAAATGATCTCAGAGAGTCCTCTCTGTGTATGGCTGTTGTATGAACTCTACATTATTGTATTGTAGTGAGGTCATTATAGTTTTATAGTTGGGCTTCATATATACACTAACTTATAGATCCATACCTTGAGGCCAAGTATGACGTTGGCGACGCTACCTTACATATTCTCATACAGATTACATGTTTCGTTCACTGCATGGCCACACGCGACTATCAGCAGACATTAATGTCGGCGCGTCGCGTAATTTGTACAACTGAACACTATCGACATGTTCCAGATACAGAGTTGTTGAAAATGCCCACGTGCACCTTCTGCCGTCTTCGGGTGTATCAGATATAAATGTGGGTAACGTCTAATCGGTGACTATTCCACCCATTTTCTGTCCCAGTTTGGATAATGTAATACCATGTGAAACATCTGACATTGTCATCGTGCGTCACACATCAAGTGCTAAATGGATAAACAGGACAATTGCACACAAATATGGTCATTTCCGGAATGTAAATCAAACTGGATGTGTGCGCCTTGTCCCCTTTCAAGTAACATCACAGTGAACACGAAGATCACTCTTGATTGGTTCTTTCATTATTTCTGATTTGTGATCAGGTTGTTTTCTATTACGACTTATTATTTATTTGACACATACAGTGATTGTAGTAGTTTGATAAACACTTGTATAGTGTGAAATCATGGACTTAATTTCATTCCACAAACACATTTTAAAGCTACTGGTATTAAGTATGTCATCAGACGCTATTCCTGTCACTGCATGTCATGAATGTAGGGACATAGCACAAACTCTAGCTTTGTCACGTGATACTGACCTACTTGATAACATTGTGTTGTAAGTCGGGTGAGATATTATTAACATTTTCAACATTGTATGTTTAATGCCGTAGAGCTTCATGTGTTGAGTCTCTACCTTCACTGACGTTCAAATTTTGTTTCACTGTTGAACATGGCGGAGGCCATTTCTAACTGTCGATAGATGTCAATCCCTTGTGTCATATTCCATGTGTATTTAACGCCTCATATATTTGGATTCACAGCAAATACAATATTCATACGACCCATTTTGTAGACATTTGAGTTTGAAGCCTTGAATGTGTTCATAGACAATAAGAAACAACTGTTTAAGATGTAAATTGAGTTCAGTGTTAGTGTTCGGGTAGATAAGGCGCTTCTAGAAAGCTGTAGGTGGAATGATTTCATGTTTCAAGATGGTTAAGCGTAGGTTTAGGCGGAAACAAATTTGTTGTTACGAAGTATTTTATTATTACATAGCAACGCAATGATTTACTTACTCCTTCAGGGGCGGTCGGGTAGCCTAGTGGTTAAAGCGTTCGCTGATCACGCCGAAACCCGGGTTCGATTCCCGACATGGGTACAATGTGTGAAGCCCATTTCTGGTGTCCCCCGCCTTGATATTGCTTGAATATTGCTGAAAACGGCGTAAAATCAAACTCACTCAATTACTCTCTAATTTCAGACTTTGAAGTACGGAGAAGCTCATATCTATCAAATACTTAACTCAATGTGTTGCGCCCAATTTAATTATATTTATCATTGCTAAACATTTAAATTGTTTTATTTCAATTACACCAATAATTTGTAACCTGTTTTCTGGTGTTTAGTCTCTGGAAGGTTGTGCACATCATCTTCTAACATCTTTAATACTGGTTGTTTGTGCTGGCCTCTTTCAAACTATGACCCTGTCCTGAAACTGTATTTAGTACATACGATGATTGTTGCTTTACATATCCTCTGGAAACCCATTACCAAGCCTATTGCAGCCGGCCACATGTCCTTTGAAGTTTTAATACAGACACATAACAGACATTAAAAAAGAAATAAAGACACGAGGGGCGCAGAGTGGTTATTCTCCCTGCAGTGTTTTATTGTACGGAAAACAACCACCACGAGTCGTATATTTTGTATGTGATATATCAAAATTATGTACGGCCTTTTTAAGGATGTAATTAAATATGTACATTAAAAACAGTTACCTTAATTTTTAATAACGATGACTCTTCAAAAGAAGTCCATTTTGAGAACAAGTTTGTCAAGTTGGGTATTGCCCGCATATTCTCACAATCCTAACGTCGACTATCTTTACATTTTCTCCTCATACCGATTGTAATATCTCCCCCGCTCTTGAATGCGACCGTTCGGCCACTGCGTTTATCTGCGTACCGCATATACATCTATGGGGAACAGCTCACACGACATTTCCCTTTCAGAACATCGTCCAAAATATGACGTCATCAAGTTGCAAGCGCATGTTCGAATCTTCAGCAATGACTTCATGATAGAAAAATGGTTTATCGTGAAATGAACCACGCTTCGTTATTCATTTCTCTTTGCAGTTTATCCCGTAGCTATTTACATATTGATTTAAACTCAATAATGTTCACCACATGAAACAACCATCATACCTGGTATTGTTTTCATTTTACAGATACCATCACGCACGCATTACATCGCAGGATGGATATTCCACATAGTGTTATCCTGCAAAGGAATTACGTATATCTAAAGGAGAACCTTCAGGTCGACCCTGTGCTAGATGCCTTGTACCAGGGCTGTGTCTTCACACAGGGAGACTATGACAGGTGTAGACTAGTTGCACCAGAGAGACAATGTGAACTGTTCCTGGAGATTTTGAAGAAAAAAGGGGTTGAAGGCTACAGGACACTGTGTGCTGTTCTCGATTCCACACAACCATTTATCAAGGAGAAACTTGATAACACCTCAACTGAAGAAGGTATTTCAACCTATCACACGCCTCTTGATTCATATCGAATATCATATTACTAATCAAAATCTACAAAACATGTTGGTGTTTCAGTTCAGGTTGGTTCTAAGCACCATAGGCTGTGAAATTGCAACTCATCAGCTGAAGTTAGAAGGATTTTTTTCACTTAATACACATGTAGTTTTCAATGTGCATCAGATATCAATAATTTACACTTATTAACAAAGAATTATCCTAGATTGATCTGTGGAGAAATATGAATGTTTCCGCTCAGGTTTTGGCTTACTGAAGTCAGTGTAGCGACACTCCCATTTATGTGGACTAAGAAAGAAAAGACAAATCATATAATATGTTCCTGATCGATACATGGTGTAGGTCTTGGACACACTGACAAGTATATGTTTTTAGGCGTTTTACCAAAGATCAATATACCAAAGTACTTGTTATAGTCCTGAGGCTAATAATATTTCCTATCCTGGCACAACATATTCCAATGTCCTCCTTCACTTCGATCATATAACGCCTAATCTAAAACGTGCCTCAGTGTACATCCAGAGCCCTCGTTACCATTGCTTATTCAGTAATGAATTATTCATTACGTCCCTTCTCATCAGACAAGTGATACAGATGTGCTATCTGCTGGGAATTATATCCTTTGACTTTGGGTTTATTATACACTCTACCTGAATGAAACGTCACAGATATCTTTCAAGAAAGCTAATACAATGACGAATGTGACATCTTTCATTTTGGACCATGCATTTGTGCATTATTGTTTACGTGATCGTGACAAAAAAATATTTCCCGCGATTGATTGTCCAAAATGTCGAAAGTGGATGTCAATGTCACCAGAACTGTCTCCCGCCAGCGTTTCTCCTCGTCTTGGATCGCCATCTGTCGCGCCGAATGGCTTCACTATAAGGGCCTTTGTCGTCGCATTCCTGGGATGCAATCTCCTGGCGATTGTCGCTTGGCTAGTTATTGGAGCTCTACTGGGGATCAGTGCTTTGTCTGTGACTGGCGATCCACTGGCGATTGTCCTGAGCTTCGTATCTATTCGATGATTTTCATCTATCATAGAATACAACGTCTTGCCATCATCTTACAAATAAATTACCTTGACAATGCTGATGCTTCCCATATGGATGGCGCCTTCACATTTAATGGCTACGATGGGTGCACCAGTGTCTGGTATGCCATCGTCACCAGAACAGTCCCCAAATGCGCCTCTCTTCGTCCTGGGATTGGTGATGTACCTTTCTACCCTTGTACAAGTGTCTACTTGGGAACCGGCGCTCAGAGAAATACTATGAAGTCCAGACCTTTCTGTGGGTGATCCAACGTTAAGGAAAGCAACACCATCCTTGAAATGAGCTCTACTGCGAATGGCTATCAGAAACCCGTTTCCGTTTTCATCTTACTAACACGCAGAACTATACGTTATTTTAACCACTCATCACAGTTTTCCTCCACATTTGGGATGGGCAATTCCATCAGCGGCTACTCCACTTGGTAGATATTGACTGCTACAACTTCCAGGGCCATCCTGGTTTGTGACAGCAGTGCCTTCAGTTACACTTTCTCCAAGTACAGTCTTGTGATAACGTCTTAGCCCTGGGGGTGTGATCACACGAAAACTATCACGACTTCTATGTGCTTGGTGTCTCCTAATTATGTATTCACACATTCCAGATGTCCCAGTGAGCACTCCACAGACGTTAGCTGCAAATTCAGAAAGTGGAGAAACTTTAAACGGGTGTGACAATAACATTCTCACCTCAGGCCAATTGACTCACAAGTTTCGCTCCAGCCATGATCAACTGGGAATAGCCAGGACTATAAGTGACAGCCACTGTGGTAACACTCCAGTAACTTGTTTGGCAGAACATTTCTACACGTTGCTGACCGGCGTGCAACTAGAGGCCTTGTTTCACCACATCTCGGGCGTTACAAATGTTGTCGCAGACGCGATGTCAAGGCGACACCAGTCAACGCCAAAAACTTCATCCAAATTTATTTCAGTGGATTGGTTAACAGCCGAACACGACCAACACTGATGTGGGCGCTACAGGATACGACCACCAGCTTCCAATGTTCGACTCTCCAAACTCAGATTAACTCTTCTGGGATCACGATCCACTGGCCATGTTCTGGAACACAATACACACCTTCATATTTTCGACACCACCACTACTACTTAGAGTACTGCTGAAGTTGACTAAAACTAGTGCCAACGTCTTTCCATTGTGCCTTATTGGCTCAGGAGACTATGGTTCCAGAACTAGAAAGATCACAGGAATCCTGGGAACCACCCTGGGAAGGGCAATTCCGCAATGCATGCATGTAGCAGACCCATTGATCCCCAAACCGCTGGCTCTGCACGTGTGGAACATCCACAACCATCAACCCATTCCTTGCAGTTCCTAGGTCCAGAAGAGTCATGCTTGTATTTGGGAAGTCAATGCCTTGAATGTAACTTAACTTAAATTTGACAATGACCAGATGCCTCATATGGACCTAATGTGGGATTTTGTCATCAAACACCATTGTTTTCCAGATATTCTTTGTGTCACATTGTGTCACAATAACTATTCAGAGGGATTGTTGCTCTGCGATTCTACGGGACTCACGTATTTTAAGCCGCGCTGCTAGACACTGAAGCATCAATTTACAAGTTAGAGTTAAGGATATGGCAGGGGATATGGATTAGTGAGGATTACTCTCGCTGAGCAGATTCTTATCCATACGTATTCCAGAGCTGGTTAGCAATAAGGCAAGCTGCAGAAGCGGGTCCCAAGTGTTGCAATATGTTGTGCAGGGATAGAACATATACTTACATGAATTTGGTTATTCACGCTATTAGTATCCTTACATTGTCACAAGAAGTATCTGTCCCAGGCCTAGATACCAAGACACATGCTGACGAGAAGACAGTTGAGTATCAAGGGCGGGTAACTCTGTTTGGTAACCAACGGCAACGTGTGTCCAGGTGCAGAAGTGCCCTGCTTTGGCGTCTATTTTTTATGAACAAATGGAAATACATTGTGCCAGGATAAGTATTCTTATAACATGAATAGCAAACGTCGACAAGCAAGGAATTATTCCAAACAATATCAACTTTAAATTTTATTCTTTTTCGAAGATAACAGTCTTATAAATCTTGTCACACCCTGTTTTCTACTGGCGCAATATTATTTTTTCAGGTAGTACAGATCTTGTCTATGTCAACAAGGAAAAGCTGGAAGCTTACCACAAAAAACAACTTGCTGAAAAAGATGGGCAAATAGCTGACATGCATTCTGTACGTTGTGGAGAGACAGCACAAGCTCGTCTATTTATTACGTTAAGAGCTCCCTTGTTTTGAGAAGAGACACATATTTAGATGCATATGCTTTTAACAATTGTAGTGATTATTAAAAGTACATTTACACCAATGTTGAAGTTTAGATCAAAAAGGAGTGTAACATGTAAAAAATTATATCGACTGCTACATGTATATGCAGTCGATATTTACTTCTTAAACGGTCGTTTGCGTTTGTTTTAAGGCAATGGAAAGACTTGAGGAACAAGTTAAACAAAAAGACACAGACTATGCTGAACTGGAAGAACAACTTATAAAAGAAAGAGGGGATCTCACATGTAAAAAATGATATCGACTGCTACATGTATATGCAGTCGATATTTACTTCTTAAACGGTCGTTTGCGTTTGTTTTAAGGCAATGGAAAGACTTGAGGAACAAGTTAAACAAAAAGACACAGACTATGCTGAACTGGAAGAACAACTTATAAAAGAAAGAGGGGATCTCACAACACAGATAGAAAAGAAGAATGAGGAAGTTGAAACTCGTAATTTGACATTAATAATATAAAGTTAAATATCGCTTCTATCCACAATTTTGTTTTGCCTATATGTGCTTGTAACAAATGTTATATTTGGTATAACACTTTCTTAGTGAAGTACAGACTCTCGTACTTGTTTAGGTTGAGTCCAATTCGGGATTCGAACCCATACTGCCAGAGTGAGGCACCTAATCGCCATCACACAAAGTACGCGATCGTATCCACTCAACCACCGAGGCTTCCAAAAAATAGAAATCCGACAACTGGTAGTCTAGATCACGTACTTTGTATACCCCTCTGACAAGCATAAATTGGCACGGCTCCCATGGCTGAAATCAATGAACACACAATGACATTTAGAAAGTGGTCAAATGTAACAAATGTTATATATTTTGGGTAACACATTCTTAGAAAAGAACAGATTCTCGTACTTTTTTAGGTTGAGTCCCATCCGGGATTCAAACCCACACTGTCACTGCCGGATAGGACTCAACTTAAAAAAGTACAAGAATCTGTACTTAACTAAGAAAGAGTTATCCCAAATAAAACATTTGATCACCTGCTAAATGGCATTGTGTGTTCATATTTTGCCAGTGTTCACGGTGGTAATGGAACATTCTGGTTTCCAATGACATGTCTATGATAAACAACTACATTGTATCATTTCTGGAAATATACTAATTCCATATTTTCAATGGACCATGCTATGCAATGTCCGGAATGTTGACGCATAAAACTGTTATCTGAGGCTATCCATGCATTTTTCTCGTTTCAGTGAAAACAAAATTGTCAAAGGGAAATGATGAGTTGCTACAGATTCGAGCAAAATGTGAAACAATATCCTATATCATAGCTAAGTGTTTTTGTATATTTTAAGTTATCTTATCTTGCATGCCTTAATACCATTATTAATCGATTTAAAAGTATCTTGCTATTCCATGTACAGTGGCCCCGTTTTATATTTGACTTGTATTATATCTGAGGTGAGACGAGAAAATATTATTTGTCTGTCTCTCTGTCTAGCTGTTTGCCTGTCCGTATGTACGATGGGTAAGAGGAAAACTGTTACCAATAAGGTAATCAATCTGTGTTTGTAATTGTCTCTTCAGATCTCCATAAACAGAATAAACAGCTGGCATTAAAAGAAGAAGAAACCAGCGCGGTAAAGTATTGCTTTCGTAACAGAATTTTGTTTTATCAACATGTTTTCTGAGAAAGGGTTTCAATGGCTCTTTACATTGAGTACATACATGGCTCAAATTGTGAGTAAAACAAATGTAATTATCACGGTTGGAATCAAGTTGCACATCATTCCTAACACCCACATAGCTAAATGTTACATGCAGTCGATAAATAAATAATGTATGTGGTAATATATGATACCCAGCTATAGTGTGAGCGAAAGGTTATGTTCTGATCTCTATGGTCTCAGCGATGTTGTTTCAGGTACACGAAGGGCGGTGGCATCGTCTTGGGGAGATGATCCGTCGCATCACAGGTACAATATAACACCTGGATGTAGGTCAGGAAAAGCAGATTAAATACCAAATGAACTACATTAACCTTCAAACTTTAATATAGAATATCAATGTATTCAGTGTAACAGTTAAAGACTCACTTTCTGTTTATATAAAAACAGCAAATAACAAGCCTTTAGTTAGATTAATTATTGAAATCCACTACATTTATCTACCAACAGGTTCTGCTACAAGTGGAGATGGATCACAGGGACTCCAACCTGAACAGCTGACACCACAGGATCACCGACATGAACAGCTGACACCACAGGATCTCCGACATGAACAGCTGACACCACAAGAACTCCGACCTGAACAGCTGACACCACAGGAAGTGTATGAAGTCACACGCGTACGTTTAATGACAAACAACCCCCACCCCCTCAAAATGTAAACTGCGAAGTATAGAAGAGTGTGAATTTCTTAGATTTGAAAAGCAAAGACTGCTTAAAGTTTATAGACTACTTGGGGATCATTTGGCACTTTCAAACTATCTACATGCAAGAAATAAATATACAAATATACTCCATAACAAAAGAAAAGCCTACCAAGATAAAATTCTTAGTAATATGGTGACAGGCATACACAACAGCAAAATATTTTGGTCACAATTGAAGCTACTCTCTGGTGAGGGAAGGAGACGCTCTCCTAATATAGAACTAGGAGATTGGTATCAGCACTTTAAGAACTTATTTGGTGAATACTCTTCTTCAGAGGTTGAGGAGAATTTAGTTTTTGACGATGTTAATTTTGACGAAACAACTCAGAGTATTCTTGATTCCCCTATTTCACAGGATGAAGTGCTTGATGCGATTACAGGATTGAAAAATAATAAAGCTGCGGGAGATGATGGACTGATAGCAGAAATGTTTAAGTCTTCTCCTGATGTTCTGGTTCCTTTTTTGACATTCTTCTTTAATGCTATATTTGATTCTGCATATTTTCCCTCATCTTGGGCTGTTGGCCACATTGTTCCTATATATAAGAAAGGCGATGCCAATTCTCCCACTAATTATAGGGGTATCACTATCTTAAGTGTATTCAGTAAACTTTATATTTCTATTTTAAACAGAAGACTTCAGTTTTGGTCGGAATCCTATGATAGACTAGTAGAGTCTCAGGCTGGTTTTAGGAGTGGATATTCCACAACTGATAATATTTTTGTTTTATATTCAGTAATAGAGAAATATTTGGCTAAGAAACGAGGTGTGATTTATGCCTTGTTTGTTGATTTTGCCAAAGCCTTTGATTCCATAGATAGATCCAAATTGCGTATGGTACTATACAAAAATGGTATTTCTCCGAAAATGTTCTGTTGTATACAGTCAATTTATAAACAAGTTTTGGCATTGGTCAAATACAATAACTCATTTTCTGATATGTTTAGCTGCAGTAAGGGAGTTCGTCAAGGATGTGTCCTTAGTCCCATTTTGTTTGCCTTGTTCATAAATGATCTTGCCATAGATATTGAATCCAGTTGCGCACATGGTATCCAATTTCATCCAGATGTAGTTCAATTGTTTTTATTACTTTTCGCAGATGATGTCATTCTCATAGCAGATACTGTTTATGGTCTCCAGAAAAGAATCAATGTGTTAGAATGTTATTGTAAAGATTATTCATTAACAGTCAATATTGATAAAACTAAAGTAGTAGTTTTTAAAAATGGGAGTGTTCTTTCAAAATATGAAAAATGGGTTTACGATGGAAAATTGTTGGAATGTGTAACTACATATAAATACCTTGGTGTATTATTTTTTCGAAATCTATCTTGGAGTGCACATATATCTAATGTTGTTAATCAAGCTAAAAAGGTTTTGTTTAAGCTTTTGAAGTCCCTACAGCTAATTAAACCTACTCCTATGAATATTTTCTTTAAAATTTTTGATGCTAAAGTTGTGCCAGTACTTCTTTACGGTGCAGAAGTTTGGGGTTTATCTTTATCGTTTTGCGAGGAGATTGAAGTTGTTCATACACTTGCTTGTAAACGTATTTTAGGAGTTAAGTCAGCAACTTCCAATCATGTTGTGCGTGGAGAGTGTGGGAGATACCCTTTGTATATCTATGCTTTCAAAAGATGCTTGAATTATTGGTGTAAGATTTTAAAGATGCCCGATTCGCGTTATCCACGAAAAAGTTACAATATGCTTGTGCAGCAGGCCATAGCAGGTAAGACTAATTGGGCCTCTAGAGTTAAATTACTTTTGTACGCCTATGGCTTTGGCTACGTATGGGAAAATCAGCATCTTGTTATTTCTATTTCATTTATTGATGAGTTCATACAAAGATTAAAATGCTCTTATGAACAAGATTGGCATTTTGCTTCGACCAATAGCCCCAAGTATTCATCATATCTTTGTTATAAATTTAGGTTTAGCAGGGAATTTTATTTATCGGCTATTACAATCAATAAGTTTCGCGTTGCACTGGCACGTTTTAGAGCTAGCTCCCACTCGCTCCACATAGAAACCGGGAGATATTTTGGTATCCCAAGACAGCGAAGGTTATGTATGGTTTGTAAAACAGGCTATGTTGAGTCTGAATACCATTTTGTATTGGTTTGTGAAAAATATTATGCTCTCCGAGTGACATATATTCCTCAAAAATATTATGTAAATCCATCAATAGAACAATTTTACATACTTATGTCGTCTCTGCATCAGTCAACAATTAGAAGTCTGGCTTGTTATATTTACCACGCTTTTAAGTTAAGGAATTCATTTTTGCAGAAGTAATATTCTTTATCTATGAATGCCTTGCTGTTGTGTATTTAGGTGTACACAGTTGTATTTTTATACATGTCTGGTGAACCGAATTGTACTATGGGCCGCTGGCCCACTCATGTACTGAATAAACAGATTAGATAGCCCAATAATTAATGTTGCA